TTGCCATGGTTACTAAAAATAGAAATTTTAGTCCGATATAATAATAAATCTTGCCACAAAAGAGACTAAACCAAGGATCATTATTCTGTTTATTGCTGTTGCAAAGTTTCAAGTTAAAGTGCTACTTTTATCTTCCTTTATAAATACAACCAGTAGAGCTACAGTCTCGTCAGAGACTTCTGGTTTTGTTATATCACAAGTTCCACCCCAAAAATAAACTGCTACTGGCTTGTGTTCTTTAGCAAGATGAGGGAACTCTTGTATCAATACGTCTACTAGCTCCTTGGTCGTTGCCCCCTTCTTATACAGGAAGATGAGTGGCAAGGATGTGTCCTGTCTTATCTGCTCCAATCGAATGCCTTTACTGTCAGAGAGCAAAATTGCTATGCTTTGTGACTGTTCCTGTGGAACTACCAATGGTCGTGACTCTAGGAAATGCACCAAATCCTTTTCTGACCGCTACAATAAACTTTGTTCGCAGTGAACAATGAAAATAATTTGATGTCCAAAGTGATCGCTGTGAGCACCAAGGGCATGCAAATTCTTAAGCGTGATTTTTTTTATAATTTTATTACTTCTAATTATTTAATTCTTCTCAAAATAAATGAATAAAATTTTATTTCCAATAATCTTAATGAATTTACTTATAATTTACTCGAAAACTCTACTTGTTAAAATTGTTTTGCTTTTTATCTAAAAAATTGATGCGAGTATTGTTTAATTTGTAAACACCCTGTACCTCTAGACCTTTAATTCTATGATTAGATTACATCAATAAACATACGATTTGTTTGTACGATAAAGTCAATCAAAATTAGTACATGTTTAATATTGAATTAAAGAAACAAGGTTTTTCTGAACACGGCAGTGACTAGTTACTGAGTACCTCGAGATATTCCCAATCTGCACCCCCATACATTGACGTGAAACACGTGCGCTTCGCTTTCACAATCTGCAACTCGTCAAAGTAGCAAGTATCCTTCCTGATGTGGAACAATCCTGGACGAATCCCACTTATGTGACACCAGTTGTAGTGCTTTTAGTTGACGGCACCACAAACCCCGCTAATATATAGCGAACAAATAACAAACGCGAGCTGGCCACAAAATATACTTGTATTGTGTACTGTATAAGCCCGCGTAAAGTCATGGGGAGATAACTAAAAAAGAACACTGTAAAAATGGAAAATAAAAGATGTGTGTAAAATCAGTCCGTTTGCACCATAATATCCATAATCACAGATCCGAGACTATAATTATTCTGGTGTCGAGGAATCAAAAATGGACTTTCCTTGACCTTTTCAAGAAGACTATGTAAAAGTTTCAAAGGGACAGAGTAAAGTTTGGTGCGAATATGATGTAGACCTTACGTAAGGTAGTAATGAATCAAAAGAGACGTCGTGTATTAAAGGTTTATTCTTAGACCGATGCCCATGACTACGCTTACGTCTCTGTGTATGGTTAAAAAGTCCCATCACATTTACATTGTTACACTGTGGACTGGAAAGATTTCCAACACTATCGACATTGTCATTGCATCCACTTAAAATTTATGCCATAAATGACTCTTCCGTCAGCAATGGTTTTCGCGGGATAACAATTTCATGTTACCCTAAATAAAAATGTAAATTTTTTGTTGTTGCACTGAATGTATTTAGAATGCAAAGAAAAAGCCAGAGTTAACCGTACACGCACATTCTGCGCAGTTAACATTTTTTTTATATAACCGGATGTCAAACATTGTCAACCGTACTGGGAGAGCGTGGTTTACGCACGTTGTAGGATAACAGTACTTTTTAACAAATGCTTTTAAACCAATTAAGTTTGACTATTTGACATGAAAAGTATAACAAAAATAATAACTCCACTCTTTCGCACGAAATCTTACCAAAATGTTTACAATTTGTAAATTTGATCAAAGCATTTTCATTAATTTATGTTACAGTACCCGCATCGTTATTCTTTACAGGATACACGATACGATAGGATACACGCACGATACGATAGGATAAACGCACGATACGATAGGATACACGCACGATACGATAGGATACACGCACGATAGGATAAACGCAAAACACGATAAACGCAAAATACGATAAACGCAAAACACGATAGACCTGATAAACGATCTTCACGATAGGATAAACGCAAAACCTGATAGGATTGTTTCACAATGCGAAAGGTTTTTTTGACAAGACGAAAAGTTTCTTTTTGATATACTATAGTATGATACTTTTAATTACTTACAAAGCCGCAAATCGAAATGATAAAACATTTTAAATTTATCATGATAAAACATTTGAAGTAATTATGCTTTGTAAAAGATATGGTGTTTTAGTCAATAAAATTGATCGTCATTAAATTCAAACTGTAATTATTTTAAGAATAATTCCACTCTATGATGGAAATTAGGCGATTTTTTGTGTAATTATACAAATGTCGAAATTCCTTCGAATCGTTAAATTTGAATTTTGAGTCCGTAGACAAGCGAAGTTTTACACCCAAGTGCAATAAATTCACGAAACGCTATAAATATATTCATTATTTTAACAAATAAAACCTTATGAAATTCATAACAAACATTGATTATTTTTACGGAAAAAACATTAAAAAAAATGAAATATTTGGATTCAATATCTTTTGCTAGAAGTCTGCGAAGTATCCAAAATCGGCTTTAATAGTTTGTATTTAATAATTCAAATCTTACCAAAAAAAAAAAAAAAAAAAAATTAGGGGGGGGGGGGCAGAGGTATTGAAAAATTATTGTTATAATTATTTTAAGGTTAATGCTTTCTCCTCCAAGTTTTTACGAATTTGATTTATATTTTATATAAATTAATTAATTTTTTTTACGTTTTTAAATTGCTGAAATTGCTAGTTGCATTGAGACAGACCGTGCACTGGACTGTGAATAATTAATCTCTCCTATATATAATATATATGTCACACATATCCCGTGCACATAGAAATTATTAACATATTACAAGTACATTCCAAGTACATACATTGTACATGTATATGTATAAATGAGGAAGGAGACATGCGAAAAAAATCGAATTTAATAAAATTGATAAACGTCACTAGATCTGTCATCATCTATTATCCGAAAAAATATCGCATTTCCATTCTTTTGTATTTATTTTGGTATTTTTATAAGCCTGTAAGATTAAGCTAGAAGGGAGCATGCAGTCGTATAAATTAAAAAAAAATGTTACAGTGTACCAGCATGTGTAGTATACAGTAGTAATATAATGCTTATATAATATTGCCTATCGACAATAATAATGTCTTTAGCCATTTTTGTTTGCTTTTCAAAACATTTCTTTTTAGACCACACCCCCTCCCCCCGGCCGTCCCCAAAGAAATGATATTGCTTTCTTAGCGTGCTTGTGTTATAAGCATTTACAATAACAGAATTTGTATCTACTATAGATACGTGTAAACTAAGCTTACAATGTATATGAATATATTTATTGGGTACTTAAACTTTGTATTAAATAATATTGAATGGTTACGTACACTTGTTTACAACATATTAGAACACACACACAAAAATAAATAATAAATCAATTTCCACAATTTGACAAGTGGATTTTCGGATTGAATAATTGTCAATTATTGCTATTAGACTTTGTAATATTTGTTACAAAACTTATCTTATATAGGATGACATCGGCAAAATTAGACAAAACTTTGTAAATTATGAAAGTCTTAACCCCATTTGAGGCACAGTCAGCGGGGAAGGGGGAGTCCATACCCCCCCCCCCCCCCAAAAAAAAAAAAAAATCCGATTCAAAAAGCCACATATATATATGTTTATATATATATATATATATATATATATATATATATATATATATATATATATATATATATATATATATTGACTTCAATATAGTCACATATTATATGCAATCGATAAACACGAATAAAATTAAATACAAGGTATTTACCAGTCTTGTGTATCACCTTAGAACCGGGCGATTTTTTTTTATGTGTCTTTGAGACGCCTTTACATGTAACAACGACAGACAACACAGAAAACCCTAAGATCCAGAAGTACCGCAAGCGCATTTTTTTTTATTTGATCACACCAATCACGTTTATGACTGTAAACCTATAAAAATTACATAAAAATATACAAATGAACTAAATCAACGGAGTTTGGAGGACAAACCTCGCCTATATTTTGTTTGATTCAATTATTCAATTCTTAATCTGTAACGGAAGTGTACATTTACCAATTTTCTTAGTATAAAATCTTTAATTGTTAATTAAGTGTTGTTCATAAAAATTATGAAGAATAACCAGAAAATAAGTAGATGCATTTCATTGAAACCCAGTAGGGTTCAAGGTAAGTACTTGACACCAGGTGAGAGCTAGAGTTCAGATATGTCTACGTTGAATACACATGGGCCGGTCATGTAGGGGAAGGGGGGGGGGGTCTTGACTTGACAAGAAGACAGTGTACTGATTAGGCAGGTAGGTGTCAGTTCTCTTGTCACGGGAGCGCTTCCACTTGTCACTAAGTTACGGTATATATTACTTCATCTCCGCGCCGAAGTAGGTAAGATGTATAATAAAAATTTGTGTGGTTTTGTTTATTAATTTATTTATTATTTACATCTTCTAAATGCAGTAGTTAAATATGAATGGCAAACATCTATATTATAATATATACTTATCAGAGAAAAATAATAATACAAAGGAACAACAAAACTTGCGTGCATAGAATTTTTGTTTCCGTTATTGATAAAAAGGATAGCCTTAAAGATAGGCCACAGAGATATTTTATAAGCAATGATAACAAAGAATTTAATGCTTGGATCATAAAATCGAAAACCCGGTGTAAAATGATGCCGTAGATCCCGAGATATTTATAGCTAAACATGCTCATTCACACCTGCCCAAGCGATCGATAATTCAGCCAAGTGCTTCTTCCGGTGTAAATGTTTACAATATCTGTGACGTCACACGTGGGTCTTGAGGAATCCCATGTGCTCTAAAGAAATGGCTGAAGTATCTGTCAACCCTGAAAATGAATCTCCGTCGGAAAGTTCTGAAGATGAGCAAACGCTAGATTTGTCCTGTGGATCATCTAGTTTTGACGAAAGTGTTACTGGCGAAGTCTATGACACCAATTCCATCGCTCCATTCCGATTTGAGCCATACGAAAGTGGGTCAAATGAATCAGACTCTGCTGACTCGGATGATCAAGAAAATATAAACAGCCGCTTACAAAACACTGATTGGTAAATTTTTTAACATTAACCTTGATTTATTAAAAAAAAAACATATATAAAAAATCTGTAATTGAAATTAATTATTTACTGTAATATACTCCGCAGACACAAAATTATAAATTAACCCACTCTTTAAATTGTTTTATAATAGGTGCACTTGTGGGAATTGCATACCAATGCCAACTGCAACGGAATCACTATGTTGTCACGAAGTTGAGAAAATACACTACCTATTTGCAGACTTAAATTCAGAGGTCCATTGTATAACCGCCCATCCTGGTTTTCAACCAGCATGTTTAAATACATATGTTCTACAGATAGCATACTATCAGTACAAACAACAGTACAGGGAAGACATTGAAGACTCTTCTGAGTATGTTTATTGTTTAGTTTAGTGTATTGCATATTTTTATTGTTGTATTTTATTGTTATATACATCACTAAATTGGACATTTATTTTAGGAAGTACAGATACACAGCATATCGCCAACTGGCTAGATGGGCTTGGGGATATCTTGGAAGGAAAATAAGGGTTCCACTACCATCATGCGCAGTGAATCTTATACGGAACACGTTTCCAAGTGAATCCGGACATTACACAGGATTTAAACTGGCTAATTAAAATATATTCAGAACTAAGGCAAATATTACAAATATTTGGATTCACCATTCTTGAAAAATAAATCCAGTTAACATTATTTACAGCCAAGAACATTCTAACTACATTCAGAAGACTCGCATTCATCGTTTTCATGTGCTCTGTTAGTATATCTTGACATTTTTTCCTGTATGGCTCGTGTCTTCTCTGGTCTTTCAAATGAACTACAAAGTGGAGGGGGGACTGGCTGATCATCAAGCACTGTACTTGAATTCATAGCATATTCCTCTGCTAGGGAAACTGCCGAATTCATAAGACGTTCAATATATTCTGTGAACAAATAAAAGATTTTTTAAAATATTTTTTTCTGATTAACGCTTGTAATTCATAATTGAAAAAAAACTGTTTTGAAAAATAGAAAGAACAATACATACCATAAGTACATTCCACCTTCACTTCTCGAACTGTGTATTCTCCCTTCTTGTATTTGGGAAAAATTATGTCGAAACGTTTGTTTCCTTCTTTTGTTGAGGCATGTTCTCTCATGCCATTCTCATTGTAATGGAGTGCAGCCAAAAGAATTCTGTAATAAAATATCATAATTGAGTGTGTAATTTAAAAATTGAAATGAATGTATTTGATTTTTTTTCCTAAATGAATTAATTTATACCTTGATAGCATCCCCTGATAGGAAAACCCAATCATTTTAGGAGCAAAATGATTAATTACAGAGTGGAATCCTTCAAGTGAAGCTGTTTGTTGCCCAGGAGATAATTTTGGAACATCCTTTTTCATCTGTGTTGACATAACAATGTCCGACAATCTTTCAGCAACTTTTGTTCCTATAAGCATATCATTGATTGTGAGGTATATGATTTATGCTTTAAAATGTTTTTCATTTTAATTAATATATTCATAAAATAAATTTAGCCTACCAGGCTCAAGCCACTTCTTGTGTCTTTCTATACCCTCTAATGGGCCATGTAGACAACTGTCATATAAATCTCCGTTGTGTTCATGTATATTTTGAACATGATTTGCAACAGACTGCCATTTTTCAAGCATCATTTGCCCATTTCCATCTGGAGTGGATGCTGCGGTCCAGTAAAGATGATTACAAATACTGCGAATCCACAGCTGTAGCCTTTCACATTCTTTCTCTTTAGACAGGGCAGTTAACTTTTTTTTCAAACCTAGAATAAAAATAAAACATTCATAAAATTTAAAAGAACTGTTCCCGATTTGACCAAAACTGGATTCATATTTATGTATCATGTACCTTTAGCAACATGCCAAACATCAAAGTGGTGTATAGTCTCAGGCATTTCCTCTCGCACATACTTTACGATCTGTACATGTCTGTCTGTCACAATTTCTGCAATTTTTAATCCTTTTTCTTTTATGAAATTGATGCTTCTAATAAAGCCTTCTTTCTCCATGTGGTAACTGCTTTTAACCTCATTGCTCTGAAGTGAGAATAAATATAAAGTAATACAATGTATGGTTTTCTCTCTACTCTTTTTTATATACATGTACCTAATAAGTAAATTGTAGAGCAATTAATTTACCTGTACTAATTGTACATTTATCACAAGTGACAGTTCTAAATCTAGAATGGCATAACTTCCAAATTTTGCCGAATGTCCTGGTGTGTCTGCTCGACCGTCTCCGCCAATCGTCAAGTCTTTACCACTCTCAACCATCTTTTGAAAATAATTATCTTGAAATGTTTTCCAAACAGAGCAGATAGATGGGTGCAGATAATGCTTCTGATGTTGAAAAAATGTATTTGGTGTAATGGTTTGAATATTTATGTGTTCCATGAACCTCAGAGCTTTTGAAGGAAGTAACCCTGTTTAGAAAAGAAGACATAAAATATTGATGAATTTTGACTATTTAATCATTTTTAAAAATTTTTGCAAGAGAAATTTTAACTGCCATAACTGAAACTAGTAAGATTTTCTGTGTATTGGGAAAAATACGATAAAAAAAATTAATTTACCTGTAAATAGAATTGCTGCAGATAAGAGAAGGTTTCCTGAAGGAACAGACCCAGTCATAGGCTGGCTGTCCCAGGTACGCTCATACCCACAGGTACCACAGGTTTGATCTACCTTTACTAATGAACCTATGGTCTTCTTTATTTGAAATAGGCATAAAGATGCACATGATGGACAAGATTTAAACAACTCTAGCAGATGTGACTCAAATACTATGAATTTTCTTTCCTTCCAAACAGCTTTTTCAGCGTCACTGAAATTAAAAAAAAAAAGATAATTATGTAGTCATGCATAAACAGCACTATTACAAGCTTAATCTTAAAGTTTTTACCTCTCCGTTGTCGAGGAAATGTCTGACTGTGAATCATCCGATAAGCTCGGTTCATAGTCAGGGTCTACACACTTGCTAGTAAAATTTGCTGCATGTGGGGTGGTTTCAGAACACTCCTCAGATCTCATTCTTTCCCATTCATTTCTTTTTCTCAGTTTTTTAAGGTCTTCTATGTCCTCTAAATTTCTGTTGCACTGTATGCCTATACTGGTAGTGTGTTGACGTTTTTGAACATTCGCTTGAATTGCTAAAATATAAAACAACATTCTCTCAGTGTGGAAATTGTTATAATAACAGCATTTATGGCATATGTTCATTTCTTAAGCATAACTTTAAAAATTTAGATTTTAACCTTTATCCATCGTCTTCAGTTTTGTCTGACATCTTTTAGATCTTTTGTGCACTGACTTTCCTCCAAACTGTAATCCAACACTTCGGGTTGTGCTCTGTATACATAGATAATTCAGTATATTTCTTGTTCTAATATTGTCAACAACTTTTAATTGTACATGTATTAAAAGGAAACACGTGGAAAGACCTAGCTACCTCTGTATTGGATAACTGAATAGAACCTTCATCTTCCATTTGAACATCAGAAACTTCCGTTGCAGATGTGGCCGTTTGAATAACCTTTTAACAACATTTATTAAAAATTAATTAAAGCAATTATTACTGTTTAAATTTATTAACAACATTGCTAAAACGTTACAAAGAAGAGGGGGGTGGGGGGGGGGGGTATTCATTAAATGACCAATGCCACATAGATGTAATGTTTACTAAAGCTGTAAAATATTTAAAAACGTGTTAAGTCAATCATTTTTTTAATCGACTTACCCTCATGCATTCCCTTTTTCTAAATGCCGGTCTCATCTTCTTAGGTTGCGAAGGACGCTCGGGAGATTCATGGCGAGAAAGTGAACTGGCCTCTGCTCTCTTGTCACTATCAACTGTTTGAACAGTTGGAATAGCCTCTGGTAGAAGATTTTTTTTCTTCACCTCTATTCCCATTGACTTTTTAATAGAATATTCCAGAGGATAGCAGTTTGGAGCAAAGTGTTTTTCACACAACACTGAGAACTGGGTTGGGGTCGTAAAATCCTTCCTCTTCATTTTTACAAATGAAATCCACTTTCTCCGAATTTCCGGGCGAGTTTCTTTAGGAAATTCATGAAGAGATACATTATCCCGGTGTGTGGAAGTGCAACCGGCCGCAACACAAAATTTTCCCGATTTTTTCTTCGACATTCCCACGTTTTCAACGATAACAGCATGCACTGAGACACACGTGTGACGCAATTTCCGGTATTTTGTTATTTTTAGAGAAAGCGTACAGGTGTGCAGAAACCTATTTTTAGCGTTATCTCTGCTATTCATTGGAATTATTGGGAAACACTTATACCGTTGTGATCGTGTTTTAAATCTACATTTTGCAGGATTAAAACACGTAACCTCTGTGGCCTGTCTTTAATAAAGATACTGATATTTTTTTTATTCATAATTTATTTTTTGCACACATACCTAATGTTTTATGTTTCTATAATTATCAAAACAAAGTTAACAAAGGTCTCGCTTTTGTGACTCTGACTGTGTAAAGGGATTATAATATTTCTATCTTTGACAAAAATATTTCTTACATATCGACAAATTTAAAAAAAAAAAAACAAATGACTCAAATAGTAGATCGATTATTTCATGTACAAAAATAGAATTTGACTCTCGATTTATGCTCTCTGCTTGGTGATGGTACTTGAAGTTTATTTATTTATTTATTTTCTTTAAAAAATATACCAGAGTTAGAGTATTAATTTCTCTTTTTGTTCAACAGTTAGATTAATCCTAAATAAATTAACAAAACGAAAGATGAACTCGAGATATCTCGGGTGTTTCTTTTCAAGGTAAAGATAAAAAGCGAGGGTTTCCGAATGCACACGATAAACGCAAAACACGATACACGATAGAACCTGATAAACGATTTTCACGATAAACGCAAAACCCGATAAACGGAAAACACGATACGATAGGATACACGCACGATACGATAGGATAAACGCACGATAGGACACGATAGAATTGTAAAGAATAACGATGCGGGTACTGTAACTAAACGATTCTAGCAGCACTTTCCAAGTATCGAAACACATACTTTCGATATCGACAAAAATCATGTTTCAAAGTATGCGGCGTAGTGTTAAAATTTGTTATGACGTCATATGGATGGGTGGGTTAAGTCTTGGAAAAGCTACATGTAGTAAAATGTTCAAGATTCCCAAAACAACTCCGAGTTCCTGGCGCACCAATAGGTCGCCCCCGGCGTTACTAGCAAAACTCGAAGAGGAGTTGATTAAAGAAAAAAAAGTTGAAAATTCAGCTTCCATGGGATTTGGGGTCAGCAGGCAATAACTACTAGTCAAAACACGGCGTCTGGTAAACAAGCTCAAAATCTCAACACAATTTAAAGGAGATATACCAGGAAAAGACTGGTTAACTTGTCTATGTAAAAGACATCCGGCACTCAGCATAAAAAGGGCCCGTGAATGTTGAATGTTGAATCCATCCGTAGTTGATTCGTATTTTGACACAGCCACCAATCACTCCAACTCATATCCAAATGATATGAAAAGGAATTCGTTGTCAAGACCTCCGGATATGCGTTGGAGAAACTTTTTGCACTCGCTTCAGGGGCATATTGTAAAAATTTGAAATATTTTAAGGTATGTCACTCGTGAAATTTGCTATATCAAGGATTTTTTGAGAAGTATATTTTGGATAAGTACTCATATAGTATGATTCAAAATCGCAGAGAAAATGGGGGGTCAGTGTGCATCTAACTGAGCTACGGTACAATTAAGTTGACCTTTTTGCACTTAAATTGTAACTCTTTGGTTAATCACTTTAAACGTTATCATATTTTATCAAATGTAACCATGGCAATGAACATAATCTTTTTTTACGTAAAATAGTTTGAATAATATTTATCATTGAACAAATCATGCAAATTAATGCGCGTAAATTTTTGAATGACCTTTTTGCAATTAAAAAGTCTCATATTTGGGGTATTAAAAATCTAAATAGGCAATAGAATATTTTCTTGTATCAAACTTTTTACTACTTAAGTGCTGATCGGTCAAAAGTATCGAGTAGTTTAAAATAATGAAAGAAAAAGTTGGGGTCAGTGATGTAAATTTTGAAATATTGGTCAAAATATGCGATTTTCTGGCAAAAAAATGTGTAAATTTTATCTTGACTTCTTTAATATATCTTCATTTCTTGGCGAAGTTTGTTGAGCGAAAGTGTAAATTTTGTTATAAAAATATAAATTGAGACCTATATTTAATATTCCAGGCATATCATAATGGAAAATATTCTCTGAGTAAAAGTATGTGAGGCTAAAGTTCCAAGATATTAAATTTAATAATTGTGTAGATTTGCAGAATTTTCTGCTTAATATCCTTCAACCACAAGAAATAGTCCCTTATAAATCTTGCTTCTTTATCAATTTTTGAGCAGTTTTTCAATTGAATGTTGAACATTTTACATTGTTTAACTTAAATATGTTATAAAGGTTGAATTGTAATAAATAGTTTTTAAGTAAGAGGTTCTGACTGAACTTTTTTAAAAGGCTGACGAGTGACATACCTTAAAAAATCTTCTCAAAAAAATTTTTTAAAAAAAAGACGTGACTTAGGTTGTGTAAATTCAAATTTCTTCAAATCATGACCCCTTGGGTTAGTTACTTTGTGGCCATACTCTACCCACGAGGGTAAGAATTTCAAACTTGAATCTACACAACCTATGAATGCTTCCATATACATATTGGCTTTGCTTTTCTTATCAAGATTTTTTAAATGGCCTCACCCATATAAAAGGAGTGGCCCTTCATTTGAATAACTTGAATTCCCTTTACCCATGGATACTCTATGCCAAGTTTGGTTGAAATCTTCCCAGTGGTTCTGGAGGAAGATAATGGAATGGTAAAAAGTTTACAACGACGACAGACAACGAACAAATTTTGATCAGAAAAGCTAACTAGAACTTTCGGCCCAGATGAGCTAAAAATGAATAAAATATTTCGTATAAACAATTAATTTTTTTTTCTGATTAAATATTTTTACTTCAGAAACTTGAATCTGTCTTTTTGTTCTGTTCTTTGTAAAAGTGTCTTGTTTATTAAGGTTTGAATAGGGGAATAACGACGTGAAGATATAAGCGACAATGATGTGTATTAAACATCTTTTTATCGAATATTTATCGGGGTTTATTGCTAGCCTAAAAGTAAGGTCGGATGGATTTCTTTCAAATAAAAAATATGACTTACCCGGTATGTTAATTGAATAAACATTGCAGAGTTAAGTAAATAAATATTTTTATTAAACTTCAATCAAGGAGAGGACAAAGAAAAATAAAGTATCTTTCGGCAATAATGGTACTGTACAATTAATAGCAAACATTCAAATGTTACAGCACAGTCCTGCGTCAACTGGTAGTTAAAAACAAGTTGCTGTCCTTCAAAAAGGACCCCAATACGTAGACCATAATCAAGTGTTTATAACAATATTGAAAAAAAAAATGAAAAATTCTGTATTGTTATGAAAATATGTGTTGTAAAAATATTTCATTTCTTATACTGAAAGCGTAATTTTCATTATAATTTAACATTATTATATAATTGTTTACAATGTTATGTCGAAAAATGGATATTAAATATGCTTGACCAAGGCATCTCGTATAGCCTTGATCTTTAATTATGGAAGTCCATATATCATCCATATATCACAATTACCCTATATGTCAGAGTTAAAAACATTGTCCAGTTTTAACGAGTGGTGTGTCCTTGAAATGGAAAAAAATCTGTTAAAGAAACAAGACATTTATGTTGGAGGCAGCATACGATACTTCAGTCAACTTTATACACAATCATTCCCCACGATAAATTAAAGTCCAGGCTTTTTGATATCATTGAAAGCTGTTTTTCAATAAAAATGGAACTCGTAAATTTACTTATCTTGCCATTGGTCATTTGCAAAATTATTTTGTTAAAAAACATTCTGATTGTACACACAAGCACTCTGAAGTTGACAGTAAAAAGATGCTTGAGTTTCTGATTGACAATATCTATGTGGTTTTTGGAGACCAGGTCTTCCAACAATCTATTGGAATTCCCATGGGTACCAATTGCGCCCCGTTATTAGCAGACCTTTTTTGTATACATATGAAGCAGAATTTGATCAAAATCTTATACGTGAAAAGAAGAAAATACTTGCTGTGGCCTTCAACTCGACATTTAGATATATCGACGACGTATTTTCAATTAACAATGGCTATTTCCATTATTATGTCGATACGATATATCCCGGTGAGCTTGAGATAAAAGATACCACAGAGTCTGACCAATCTGTTTCATATTTGGATATTTTACTTGAAAAAGACGTTAATGGTAATCTAACAACCAAGCTTTATGATAAACGTGATGACTTTAACTTTTCAATCGTCAACTTCACATACTTATGCAGCAGTATACCTTCAGCACCTGCATACGAGGTATAGATCTCTCAGTTGATTCGATACGCAAGAGCATGCTCTACGTATGTACAATTTCTAAAACGAGGTAAATTATTGACAAACAAGTTGATGAAACAAGAATATCAGCAGTCTCGTTTAAAGTCATCATTTCGAAAGGTCTATGGTCGATACATTGACCTTGTCAGCAAATACAATTTATCATTGAGTAAAATGCTGACTGACGTTTTTCATACTAATTGTTAGGCCATTATTTACACACTGAATTGTCGACGGATTTTTCCGTTATTTCCCGATCATGACAAGGAGTACACGGCGGGTGTGACCGGTCGACAGGGGATGCTCACTCCTCCATGGCACCTGATCCCACCTGTGATGTTTGGAGGTCCGTGTTTGCTCTGCTCTTATTTTGTATTGTTTAATGGACTTTTGAGCTTGAATACTGTTCGTTATCTCCATATATTCCAGAGGAACCGCTGAGGGGGGGGGGATTAATTCCATTTTTTTCCTTTATGATTGAAAAGAATGCGTCAAATGAACATTTTTATATCCCCGCTCCGAAGGAGATGGGGGTATACTGTTTTACCCTTGTGTGTCTGTCTGTGTGTGTGTGTTTGTTTGTCCGTCCGTAACAAATTTTTCGTCGCAGTTTTCTCAGCAACTACTTATTGTAAATGCTTGAAATTTTAACACAAAATTTGTTATGGCATGCCATATGGTGGGATTCATTTTTGTACGAATCCCTGATCAACTTCCTGTTTATCTGTGCGTCTGTCCGTACCATACATAGCAAATTTTCGTCGCAGTTTTCTCAGCCATTACTCATTGCAGATGGATGAATTTTTTTCGTACACTTTGTTGAGGCATGCCATATGATGAGATTCATTTTTGTACGAATCTGATGTCAACTTCCTGTTCATCCCTGTGTCTGTCCGTAATTGAACTTGGGTATATTCACATCAGAGTTTATATTCACATCAGAGCGGGGGTATTACTAGTGAGCATTGGCTCACAGACTTCTTGTTTGTCAAGAATTTCTGTTATTTTGACTTCCCTTACTTAAATTGCTTTCTACGGGCCTGGATTCACAATATTGATACCGGTCGCATGTTCAATCTTTTAAAACCTAATTGTCTAAAGAAGTCTTTAATTCAAGCCCTAAAGCCATCTGAATTCTTCCTCTTTTTTTCAGTTCAAGTTATTGACATCACCATAATCATATATTAGCATACAGCTAAATGTAATATGAAAACATATAAAACAGAAAAGTGAATTGAACAATAACATTATGGCGACATTAGCAAAACAAATTCACACAATATACACTATATGTGAAATGTTTTCCGCAAATGGAGTCAAAAACATTGTCCGGTGTTACGCAGTGTGGTTCTCCTTGACAGGGAAGACATTTCTGTTAGAGAAGGTAGGCTTTTTTTTTAAAGCCTTGCTATAGAAATCCCAATCGAATGGGTAAATCTTAATTTTAACACACACACACACACCCTCACACACACACACACACACACACACACACACACACACACACACACACATATATATATATATATATATATATATATATATATATATATATAGATATATATATATATATATATATATATATATATATATATATATATATATATATATACATAATATATATAACCAGAAAATAATGTTTCTTATTTACAAATGAAGATATAATTATGTATATTGTACATAAGTTTTAGCTAATATGTTAAATATAATGATAATGTACAAAATTAAAGCGAGTTTTCAATGAAAGCGAGTTCTTATTCGAGAGGGCGAATCCTCCTTGTGACAAGTTGTCCTATTTAGCATTCTGAGGCATGCGCAATCTCACTTTCGCCCGTGGCATCCGGTTTAACCTCGTTTACATATTTTCTTCAAATAGCGGCCACGCGGCCACACCCTACCCCTCTATTTTTAAATATTTTTTGCGTGGACCTCATGTCCAGTTTCCACGCAAAAAATCGGTGTACTATCATATCGCAAATTTAGCGGAGAAATGGTACATGTACTGTTGAAGATGAGACCAAAATAAATATTTTGAGCAGCAAACATGCTACAGGGAAAAGCTATCGTTAATTAACTGTATCTAAATGCGTGAAAATTCTAGAATAGGACGTACAACAACATACAAACACTCTTGAATAACTAAACAACTTAAATCATAACAATCAAATAATATGTCAAAATGTACCTAGTATATATTTTTAGGTTTCAATTGTTTCCGTTGCTCTAAGTTTCATACCCCCGATAATCCGTACTTTGCGAAGACTGATTAAGGGAGCTCTCTACAATGTCACAACATGGAGTACTTTCGTTCGAAACGCCATTTTGGTCCGAAATGATCAGATTCTATCCTGAACAAATTCACTAATCACCGATAAATCAACTTGCTGTGTGTATATTTCATTGTGAAGGAAATGTATCCCCTCAAAGCGAAGAGGGTGGCCAAGCTATACCCTTTCTTTAAACCTAAATTGTTTGTCAATATATTCAATTTCGATTGATTATATACCAGAAATATTTGCGCAAACTTATGAAAATAAAATACGATTATAAGTAATAAAAGAAAGTGATAATAAAACAAAGCCTTGTTATAATGATATTTGATTATTAAGTGTCAGACCCATAATTAAAGTCCTAAATTAATGCTTCTTCTGAAAGCCTAATTATGCTTTCAAGCGAAATATATTTAAACAGAAAAGGCATGTCCACACCTTCTCATCGCCTAGAAGATACGCCCTTTTCACAACAGAGTATACACCCCGCATGTGTGGTTATACCCGATGAAATTGAACTCTTCATGAAATCACCAACACGCTTCGACGTGGAACTGTATTAACTCAAACGTTTGATCAACATTGTTTATCAGCTGTTTTGTATGGAAAACGTAAAGATTTGAAAAGAAGAAGGAATTTCGTTAAACGAACTCCTTTTACCCGCTTTTGACCATTTACCTGTCGTATCATCTGTTGCTCAGGATAATACATAGAAGTTGGATGAAAATGGTAAGTAAATCCTCCTTTCTCAATACCTTGAATTTACATGTCTTTGGTCGCCCGCGTGGTGCAGTAGTTAGAGCATTTGCTCTAGAGTCGCAAAGTAAGGAGTTGATTGTTACGTCGCGGGTTATCTTTATCAGATTAATTAATTAATCTTTATTTTCATTGCATACCAAGTCTCTCTAAGTTTAGAATTTTTATAAATCTACACATATTCAGAATTTGCAGACGTTTGATTTATTCATAGTTAAAAAAAATATATCAAAGTGAAGGATACTCCGATGTTGAATATTTTTGTGCTTATATGCAAAGATGTTAGCTCATTTGTAACACTCTTATTTAAAAAAAAAAAAAACAAACAACACATCTCTTAGTTGACAAAATTGTTCACCAATTGATTGTTAAGATTTTTATGTGTTTAACTTTTTCTTTCAAGAGCACTAGAACCAGTTATATCTGTGTCCATAAACAGGCCCGTTAAAAGAAATTTCCGTAATTTTCAGTTTAGGGTGGACACTATCAAGAAAAAAATCCTTATAGAGCATAAAAAAAATCATCAGAAATTAATATTTACATGATTTAGGGAACACAAGCATCAAGTAGCTATATATGTATAAATCGGAAAAATTATTGTGGGGCACACACACCCCTTCCTCCCGGTTCCTACATCCATGAAAAAAAAACACCAGAAACTACAAGAAATACAGTGTACAAAGAATAAATTCATGTCCAAGTTTTATTTTATGTTGATGCCACTGAATTAAACTTTTCTTTGTTTCTTAGCAAAAGAATCAATTTCGTGACATAGAGTCACTTGTTGCTTACACATGCAGGATTTAACTTTTCTTGATTCTTCACATAAAAATAAAATTTCTCAAGTCAGACAAGCTTTTTAGGAATGCTAAAACTTCTATTAATTTAATTTTCAGATTTTGGAAGAAATCCATTCAGATCTTCTCATGAAAATGCTGTTTTAGTGTTTCTTTTGTCTTTTTTGTAGATTCAAATAAAAATTATGTAGATTTCAGTCATGACTTTATTGGTTTTCATTTTAGGTTTTTATCACATTAAACTTGGAATAAAATTTTAAAGCATAAGACTTTTGAAAATATAAAAATAAGGAGTTTCTACAAAATGAATAAATATTTCAAAAATTTTGCTAAAAAACAGTTAAATGCTTAGGCGCTTTATTCTAATAGATATTGAGTCTATTACTACTAAAAACAGCTGTATACAACAAAAATCATTAAACTTCATAGGTGTAGAGATCCTCCTTAATAATATCTTGACAAATGAAATGACAAATTTTTTATCGGGCTAATAAATTTTTAATGATTAATAAAAGAACGAAAATATATCATGTCATGTTCCATACGAGCCACCGTAGAAACATCAACAGAGTACAAGCTGTGGATAATTGAGAACAGTGGAACAGACTATATTTTACCAGGACGATCGCTGTAGCAAAATTTAGTAATATTCCCCCTCGCTGAATGTGTTTCAAAAATATGCAATCGATTGTATTCGTGAGTGCACTTTGGGCGGTAAACATGGTAGGAGTGTGTGCATAAGATATATATATACATAATGTGAAAGCCTTTGTCAGAACGAGATCTGCTTGGGTCAAATTGAATTTTACCAGCAAAGAGGAACGGAAAAATTCAATGTACTTTAATTAATGCCAAGGATGAATTCAAATAAAAGGTGAGTACAAGTAAATACAACTTTTCCCGACGTAGTTCTTTTAAATTAATCATATTTACTCTTTGATACCTTGTATGAGTTCTTTAGCAGTAGTTTGTTACAGGAAATGCTGCATACAAGCTCAGCATTAAGAAGAAGTCAATGATGAATTGCACCATTATTCAAAATGCTACAACTCGTAGATTGGATTGTGAAGCTTTCCCCGATTCATTCTGGCATTCAATTTGTTTTTCCCTAGGATAAATATGTTTGGCATTAAGCTAAATACTTGAGTCTAGCATAATATGTGTCCAAGTAAAAAGCTTATGCAAGCTATAAATAACAGCTCTGCATTCAAAGCAAAAACACAACTGCACTTTGACATTTATGTTACAAAATGTTTTGCTGAGAAGAGCAAATTCTTTGTAGTGAGATGCAATTTAATCGATACTGACATAGGAAAATGAAATAGATGTGATATAACCAAAGCAAAGCATTACAGTATTGTGGAATATTACGCTTCTTAAGAAAACTAAGGTTGAAATACATTACATGTAAATTGATGATACACAAGTATGTATGAATAACTTGGATTTTTAAGTCTTAATTTACATATCGAAAAAAAGTAGTATACTGCATGTTCATTTGCTGTTGTTTGGTTTAACCAGATGATTGTGATCTATTTAAATTTCCGCGTTTCAAGTAGGCACATTGTAGCAGCACTTCATATTTAGAGAAAAAGCTTATACTCGTGGTGTTAATTAGTGAGGAAGAAAATATTTCAGTAACTCTTCAGAAAAAGCAACCAAAAACAAGGGCACCACAAAGCTCTAAGAGGCTTACACTCACATCATAACAAAAGCGAACGGCTGTTTGTAAAGGGCGGTATCAAACAAAATTCTTATCGACTACTATTAATTTGATTCATGATTATTAATCAACAGAAATTAAATGAATATTATAGCAATCACAAAACATGTTTAATTATATGTAAGAATATAATTCAGTAAAAAAAATGATAGAGAAAAAACATAGTATCAGTAGGGTCATTTTATTATAACACTTTAATCAAATTGGTCATATAATTTATTAATCGGCCTAAGGAATGGTTGGCAAGCTGAGCCACGTCGGAACTCGGGTCGAAGTACTGAAATGATCCTCGAAACGTAAATACATATACATGGTTGCTATCCACATCATGTTTATACGTGTTAAATATTTAATTCCTTTATATTTAACAAAACATGTTACATGATCTCTAAAACTTTTGAAATTTATGATATATTTTCCGCTGATACTTGCAGTTAAATTCCGAGTAGAAGAAAGTATAATTCCAAACCCGATTGCACACAACTCAAATCCCCCCCCCCCCAAAAAAAAAAATTAAAATGTTATTTATACATGTATTTCTGTGATTGCACAGAACAAATTGTATCTGAACAAATATTCCAATATTCAGAAAGGCAGTTGTAAATGCCATTGATCCCTATGTAAGTTACATCATTTACGCACGCACTCATCCTCACACTCACTATACTATATCCCCTCCAACTTCGTTACGAGGGGATAAAACATATGCCATATAAAACGTAACGCTGTCCAAAAATTGACTCGATCTTCCTTTTGACCTCTAATATTTTGGAAGGCCTTTGATCCCGCTTTCTTACCAGAGTAATATTCTATACTAAAAGTAGATAAAGAATTGCTCGAACTCAGGAATTGAGTTACTAATTAACTATCTTGAATATCGTTTAAAATGAGAGTATTAGAGATTTATATTGTATTTCATTTACAAATAACAGTTTAAATTCTACCCACTATGAGGTTGATCATTGTATACAAAAATATACATCATGCGGGTACTCTCCTTGACAAAGGGATTCCAAACGAGTGCCCTTATGGCCTCTAATAAGCTCTCAATTGTAGGCGTATTTTAAACTCTGAGCAGTCTTAATGCTGATTTCCTTTCATCGAAGATGCAAGGAGACTAAAATCAAAAAAACCAAATGCATGTATCAGGTTGATCCCAAATTGAAGTGTCAGCATGCCAAGCCATGTTTTATAGTAGATCGTAAAAAAGGCGATTATATCGATCCATTCACATGCGGTTGGGCTAGATTTTAGGGAAAATTGTGTTAATTTCAAAACATAGTGACGTCATGTCTTTGTTTTAACCGTTCGATACAATTTGGTGATTTTAATATGTACTATTATATATATATATATATATATATATATATATATATATATATATATATATATATATATATATATATATATATATATATATATATATATAGTGTTGAAATGCAGAAGGGCATTTTTTATGTACAAAAAGTACTTTTTTTCGTTTTTAGGGTTGCTAATTTTTTTTATTTCATTGTAGCTTTTATGAATGAAATATATGGAGATAACGAACAGTATTCAAGCTCAAAAGTCCATTATACAATACAAAATAGGAGCAGAGCAAACACGGACCTCCAAACATCAGAGGTGGGATCGGGTGCCATGGAGGAGTGAGCATCCCCTGCCGACCGGTCACACCCGCCGTGTGCTCCTTGTCATGATCGGGAAATAACGGAAAAATCCGTCGACAATTCAGTGTGTAAATAATGGCCTAACAATTAGTATGAAAAACGTCAGTCAGCATTTGACTCAATGATAAATTGTATTTGCTGACAAGGTCATTGTATCGACCATAGAACTTACGAAATGATGACTTTAAACGAGACAGCTGATATTCTTGTTTCATCAACTTATTTGTCAATAATTTACTTCATTTGAATAATGTGTGTGTGTGTGTGTATGTTTGTTCTTCTGGTAATTCGATAAACACGCTCATGACATTTTCATCGCATGCATCACTTTCAATTTTGATCCTAAATAGTAATCTTCATAAAGACTATTCCTTTAAAGAATATTTGCTATAAACTCTTGATACATTAGCATACTTATTCATGTTATGTCGTTTAGTACATGTGTATAATAATATAATATAATAATAGAATATTATATAGTATAATATAATATAACTATCAAATAATTTTAATAATGTTCATTTTTATGACTAAATGAGTCAACCTTGGATGTTTGTAGCTTGTTAAAATTTAGAATGAACGGTCCTTCTTATTCAAAGACAAACTTTAGGAATTTTTGCAAAAATATCTATTTTTAATGAAAATTTTCTAAAAATATTTGTCTTAATGATGTTAATTATAGGAAACAAAATCCAACTTGAATGTCATTGTCATATTAGTTATAATTACATGTATAAGATTAAAGTAACTGCGCAAGCGATAAGAAATTTATATCACACTATTCACAGAGGTTTTTATATACTAGTATTAAATATAAATCATATTAGGTTTTGTTTGGATAAAAAAACGGTAAAAAGCTGGCTCTGCAAGTGTCTTGTACATTAATGTTAAATTCTGGTTACTTTCATTAAAAATGACCAAATATTAGCTACACCTTAATCATAACAAGGAGCAATGCCAAGAACGCTATATAATCGTAAACTGATATGATTTCATGATCGTCACTGGGATAACTAATGAGCGAGGACAAAAAAAAATTAATCTGTTTAAAAGATGACGCTACTTAACAATTGCAGATATTATTATTCTATTGCGTGTACATTTGTGTATATCGATCCGTATGCAGGAAATCGGATTACTGTCTGAATTTCATTTCCTTAGGCTTTATGAAGCCTGCACTTTAACTCTTAAATGAAAACGGAACGAGAAATTATAACGGACCAGGGAAATGTCTAGAAATAAATATTATAAAAATATCTTTAAACACTCAGAACGGAAGAATGTTTAAACTGCTCGATCTGCATTTTTTTTTTTTAATTTCAAAATGTGATCTCTCACGGTCGACTGAAATGATGAGTTTACGGAGGAGTCGTAGACTGTGGAAATGTATAATATAAAAAAAATATCTATGAATTTTTAAAAATTAAGAATGCCTCAACTGTGTCATCCGCAATTTGAAAACAATTAAATGCGATCTTTCGCAAAAAAATTGATGAGAATTGACAAAAGATAAGCAATTAACGAATAAAATCGATCTGTTAATAAGAATTATTCTAATTCATTTTTGCAACAAATTTAATAATCGATTTTAAACACAAAGAGGTTTGCAATGAAATTCGTAACAATACCCCCCCCCCCTTTCGAGATTGTCTCTATATAAGTGAAAATATTCTCGATTGGGATGTTTATCAACATACAACTAATCAGTCGAATATTCAGAAATTACTCTAAGCAAATATTCAATAAAAAGTCAAAGGGTTGATTGATTGTATATTGCTTAACGCCAAGTTGGTAGAATTTCAGCCAAAGTGGCAGCAGAATTTATTTCTTATGACGGTTTTGCAAGGTCATTAGGTTTCTTCTGCGGTCCCAAGTGAACCTTCTTTGTTTTGAAACACAGCGAAACTACCTTTGTGTGTCAAAGGGGTTGTAATCATTGGTACGGGGCACCATTTAACGCCTATCTGACAAATTTAAATTTATATATATATATATATATATATATATATATATATATATATATATATATATATATATATATATATATATAACATTTCTAAAATAATATCATGCATCCTTTGCACACCATCAAAAAAAGAATGGTACAGCTAGGCAAACAACGATGAAACCTGTTCGACTTGTTGAACAACTCCGTTGTAATAGGATGGATAAAGAATGGTACAGCTAGGCAAACAACAATGAAACCTGTTCGACTTGTTGAACAACTCCGTTGTAATAGGATGGATTAAGTGATATTAATTAATTATAGATGTGTTCATTAATTTAAATACATGTAGTATGTTTTTTTTAAAAACAAAATGCCTTCAATATAGTATGTACAGTTTTATTTACATGTATATATATTAAATGATTCATAAAAAAAAATAAGATTATGCCTATAGTCCAACGTCAAAACAACGACCATATTAGTTTTTTTTTAATCAAGTATATCATAGGTGCCGGCAATTTCCACTTTTATAGTAT